CCTTTCCCAGTCTAACCCATGCACATATGGTTTGCTAATACGAAACCGAACTAATGAATTACTTATCTGATACCGATAAAATTTCTTGTGTGCAGCAATTGTCAACACAAGAGGGGGGGAGGGGGGAGGGGCACTTCCAATATTACAGTTGCAATATACAAAATGCTCAAATTCATGGAATGTGATTTTTCACGCATTTGTATCTTAGCCTATATTCTTAAATTCATGACCGTCATATAATTAAAAAGAACTTATACATTGTACTAGCTAGATCCATCCATTCAAGTAGTTGATATTTCAATTTATTGTTTATATTTGGCAGGCAATGATTTAGCTCGCTGTCTTAAGTGGGGAGGCGGCTATGAAGGGCCAGAAGAAATATATCCAATTTTACGAGCAATTGTTGATGCTGAAGAAATTAAGCTGGACAGGTGAGTTGACCAATCAAGGAAAAGTTTATAAAACAATGTTTATTTCATGTGTTTTATTTACAGATTTTTGAGTTGAAGGTTAATATAATGTATTATGTATCAATTGCAGATGGACTGTGATTTTTGAACCTGATGGAAAACTAGTGGAATGCGATAACAAATCAAATTCCTCCACAAGCAGCTCGGGGAATGACGACATGCCCAATATGTTTGTCATGAACAATTACTTTGGGCTTGGCATTGATGCCGATGTCTGCCTGGCATTCCACCTAAAACGAGAAGAAAACCCGGAAAAATTCCAAAGCCGCATTTACAACAAGGGCGTATATTTCCGAGTTAGTGTCAGGAAAATGATGCAGCGCCGATCTTGTAAAGATTTGCATAGGGATATAAAATTAGAGGTAGACGGACAAAGAATTGATCTACCTCCATTGGAAGGAATAGTTTTGCTGAATATTGGAAGGTATTGTCACTTGTAACTTTATGTTTTTTGAGTATTGTTGATGAAATCGATATCGCTCTTGGATGGCGAGTCAGTCAACAAAATTAACGCAAACACCAATGTCCACAACAGGGCTTGAACTTCACAAAGGCATTAAAGGCAATTGTCTTGATGGCCAATAAGTTTACCCTTATATATTCCCTATATTATTCAATAATGCTCAGGAAATTGTATCAATTTCGGCTTTGAAAATGGTTGCCCTGACAACTGGGAAGTTCGAGCTATAGTTGGCTTGATATTGATATTTTTATATAACTGCCTTACTGCATGTGGTTTTTCAAGTATAGTTAATTTAAATGTACGTACATGCATATGCCATACACAGTTTAATAAATGTTATACCCCAAAGCTCCAAAAATTGTTCTTAAAATTCTTTCTCTTATCTTAATTAATCTCAAGGTTTTTAAGCAATATGTAGTGCCGGGATTATGTTAATTAAATTTGGTTACCAGTACATAAATTATACATGTTCATGACAATTCGTTTTACAATTACAGTGACTCCTCGCTAAGTTGTGGGTGACAGGATCCAAGCGCGACAGGTTCATGACTTACCGAGGGGCCACGTGAAAGGGGGGTTCAAGCATTGAAAATGGATAAAAAGCATAACAATGGGTTTACATGTATATCTATAGTACGTTTGCTTTATTGAAAAAACATCTCTACCAATGTCATCATTGTCTGATAATTTGGCGCATTTTCTGTTCAGTACGCCTCTTCGTCAACTTTGAAAACAAATTTTCTCAGCTTTTCTTCTGAACTGAAAAGTGAAAATTTACTCAAATTTTGCCTGTTGGCTCCAAAATTAGGCTTCATTAGTATGAAAAAAAAGGCAGAAAAATTTGGATGAGAAAGTCTGGTGGTGAAAAGGTTAATGTTTGACTTGTGTTTCATTCTCATTAAGGTATAGATTTGTTTACGTTGCTCTTTGATTGACAAGTCACTGTTGATGTTATATGCAAATGAGTTGCTGGTTACGGTGCGGTGATGTGTAACTTCCTGTCCGTGACCCTGTTTAACTTACCTCAAGCGCTATAAACTAGTCTTGCAAACTACAAAAAAAAGACAAGACGTAGACGCTTCCAGCATGCAAGCGGAATACAAAAATCTTACAGTTGTAAATGATAAGTAAACTTGTTTACCCTTATCTCGCAACATGTCGCCAACTTCTAGCCTGGCAGCTTCCAGTGGAGTACTGTTAAATATTTTTTTTTACGCATTTTTTTCTCCGAATGCATTATAAAACTGACTAATTACACATTTGTCGTTTCACTGTAACGATCACCGTGCTGATAGCATTGCGATGTAGTGGATAAACATCATTCAGACCATTGATGTGCTGTCATCGATAACTAACTTTTCAGTGGCAAGATACACAAACGTGAAATGCTCGGTTAATTAAAAATAAAAAATACCCCGAAAATTACAGAAACACAGGCAACGAGATGCTA